GTTGTACAAATGTTATAAAATCTGACACAAAGTTTGAAAAAGTGAGAGATATAAAACAGCCTAGTTTTCCTTGGATTCATCATAAGAAAACATATCCAAGAGAATATAGACGTAAAAACCAACTTTTAAAAAAGTAAAATACGATAAACTCTTACAAAAATATAATTTTAAAATAAGATAGTAATCTGTATTCATAAAATAAAGTAATAATCTTTAAATTTTTATAGCTGTTATTTCATGTTTAAAGTAGTTCGTTCTTCTTTAACTTACACACATAGCACTTTAGATGTATTTAAGGTAATTGTTACATCATTAATATCAGTATTAAGATTACTGACACTAACAGACTTACAAGTATCTATTAAACTTCTTACGTCGTTATCACTTAGGTAACTAAATATTTGTTCAATACACTCATGTGGTAGCTCAGGCAAATTACAGAAAAAATAGAAAATTTTAGTGCCTTGTTCGAGCAACTCTTTCCTTTCCATACCTTTTCTAAACTTATTTTTTATCATGCTAGCGTATATTGGAAATTTTGTTTTATAATCGTCTGATCTTAGAACCTGCACTACATTTTCATTTCTCATATATATTGCTAATGGAATTGTATCTTTTATCAAGATATCATAAANTGAAATGTTANAATTACTAATTTTCTCATTCTTCATGACTGCTACTTCTTTTTCACATATATCCTGTAAATATCTTATTTCATAATTGCTACTCATTGACAATAATTGTTCACTTACGTAGAAATTTGCAGTTTTCATCTTCACTATATGGTGTGTAAGAATCTCAGCAACTGAATCATAACCATAGATGTCACGACAGAGGTCATAATAATCCCCTTATATGATATAGAATTAATGTTAGCACCTCTGTTTAACAGCATCGTAACAATTTTTTCATGTCTGTTTTTAACAGCAAGACATAGTGGTGTAACACCTGAAAAAGAAGAGATATATGTAGAATTAACTCTCCAATAAAACTCCATGTTTTAAAAGATGTTCATCAATCTGTAAATATCTTTTCTTAGCTGCAATATAAGGAAAAGTTATACCGTAATAGTTACTGGCGTTAACGTTGGCTCCATGATTTAAAAGTAATACAGCAATTTTTATTTTCTTATTTTCAATCGCATCGTGAAGCGGAGTTGTGCCACATTCCGAGTTTCAGCATTAATGTTAGCACCTCTGTTTATAAGCATCTTAACACCATCTACATGTCCTCTTGTAACAGCAAGACACAGTGGAGTAACACCTGAAAAAGAAAAGATATATGTAGAATTAACTCTCCAATAAAACTCCATGAGTAGTGATATAAGGAGAGTTCTAACTCAGGAGCTCCGAGGGGGGTGCGGGGTATGACGTCAGAGGGGGAGGGGTGACGTCACAC